CAATTTCACAAGTTTTTTTAATACTTCAAAAAAAATAAAAAACTACATAAATGTCAATAAAGAATAATCTATTTGCAAAGCAAAAAAATATATATTTTTAACATTGAATAAATTAGTCAATTCGTCATTGTATATTCGCAGATATGTCGCATAAATATCCTGGATTAATTTTTTCGGTTGATTTTTAATGTTATTTATTATCTTTTGAAGATTACTATTCCAACTCACTACTATTTCGAGACTGATTTTTGTTGAAACCTTAACAAAATATTATCAAAATCTTAGCAAAAAATGTCATTACAAAGTAAATAATACCAATTCAAAATACTTGGTGACGATCACGTGACAACTAGGTTACAAAACACCGGATTTCTGTAAAGTAATTAGTCAAAAATTCTATAGATATGGATAATTTATTTCAGAAATCAAGTGTTGAAAAAGCTGATAATCTCATAGTTAGTAGCTATAGCAATAGAAATAAATAATTAGTGAGATTAAAGAAATAACTTGATGTTAGGATTCGCATTAAATGGCCTAGGATCCATCCTCTTTGATAGCATCACTTATTTTACTCGCTACTCTATATTTGCCATTACTATTACTAAATCTGAAAATTATTAATAAAGTTTCGCCCACATTTTGGGTTTCAAATTTTATAAGTTTGTGTAAAAATTGAATTAATAACGTAATTTATGGATCATCTGACTTGACAATAGATTTCATATAAATATGCTCTAAATCCTTGCTCCCTGCAAATTCTTTCTTTTTTCTAAACTGTATAACTGTCTATTACACGTTTGATATTTTTTAAAAATGTCCACTATTTACGTTAATCCGTCAGTCGAAACAGTTGAAGGTTGGAGTGTAAAGCAAGTTAAAGATTTTTTAAATTCCAAAAAAGATGAATTTTTTTTTAACGATGATGAAATTGCGAAAGTTGAGGAGAATGGTATCAATGGTAGGGCGTTTCTTAGGTATACCGAAGAAAAGCTTTTGCAAGATAATTTAAGAAGAGGACCAGCTTCGAACATTACAGAATTTGTCGCTCAGTTAAACAACCAAAGTAAATTCTATCATAAAATATTTTAACATTTGTGCACCTCACATGTTCAATAAACGTCTTTCTAGTCAATTATTTTCGTAGTATTTATTACTCATTTCTATGATTTGCCTGTTTGTTATATAATCATATAATACCAAATACTTAATCTTGTGCTTTTCTTTCCTGCTTCTTATCGTAAAACCTGCCCCAAAAACACATTCATATTATCATAGAATGAGGTAAGTATCACGACTACATTTGAATATATTAAACCTACACTGCTTTTCTCGCTGTAGGGTCAGATCTGTCTTCAATATAACTTATACCAAAGGTTTTCTTCCTTTGTAGCAGGTACATCAAAATCACCCAATGGACTTGTGTTCATTTTTGTGGACAACTCCAACTTATTTATCAAAGGAAAGTATACTGTAGGTAATCTTGAAAAAGTAGGCACCATTAATCGGAAGAGAGGTTCCTTTTACTTCAACGAGCTTCGCTTCGATCATGGTTGTCTTCTATCTACAGTAATGAATAGATGAAGAATTGGTAGTGATCCAGTGATTGTTGGCTCACGTTCACTTCCGAACGATTCGCTATAGGAGCACATTAGAAGTCAGGGCTTTAAAGTGGTCCTTTATGATCGAAATGTCAAAAATAAAGAGAAGAAAATAGATACGTCTTTCGTAGTTGATGGAATGAAAGTAATCATGTCTGAGGATCCTGGTATTTTTGTCTTAATAGCCGGTGATGGTGATTATTATCCAATGATATTAGAAGCTCTTTATCGAAATTGGAAGGTTGAAGTATGGTTTTGGACATCAGGTATGAAAATATTGTTGTTTGAAATTATACAAGTAGTATAAGTGAAATATCATTTCTATAGGAATATCTGGTAACCTTTTGTCAAAAGAAGAAAAATCAAGACTGTCTTTTTATCCTCTGGATGATTGCTATCGATATTTCACATATGCATCTGGACCTAATTTCGAGAAAATATGTTCTTGAAATAACTGATGGCATAACATTAAAAAATGGGGGGATAAATAAATAATGGATTGTTTTGTTTCATTAAAATTATTTGGATGGTGGAATTGGGAAGACGAAACTGTTGTACACTTGTATTTTGATGATAAATTGTATTTCGAAAAGGCAAAAAAATGGATGGAAGATAAATATTATGATATACAAGTTTGAGAAGCAAAAGTAGACGACAGAGTCATTAATTTAGAATACATTTAGCTTCACTTATAGCAGAATTTGCATCCTAATATATTTTTGATGCTGTTATGTCCAATTCTTTGCATATGCTTTAGATAAGCTTGCGTTAATAAAAGACCTTTGGGTCAACTTTTCATTTCAAAAAAAGCATCAGTTATTATGTACGTTGCTTATGATTCGTTAATCTGTTAATCAGATTTGCTTTTCAATTGAAATATTCAGGGATCGATAATTTTCATTACTTATCATCATAGAAGATTAATCAACTTATTGATATCATATCGCAATTAAGTATTAATGACTTCTTTTCTTGTTACTTCTTTAGGTTCATAATTCAGAACAATTTCGCTGGAGTTACCCTACGTGGTGATTACAGATACTTATAACACCAATCATCAAAAAATTCGAATTACGCAGTAATAGAAAAGCTGGGCTGGTTCATTATAAGAATGACGAATAAAGTGAGAAATGAAGGGCATTTAGTCTCGAAACTTCTAGCATTTGGTAGTGTTGTGGGGTTGTGTTGTGGCAGATCTTGTCAATCCGATGATCTATCTGCCTTTTATTTTAAATTCAGGGATGATGGATTATTATTAATGAACGATTAATTCGATTCCTGGTAGGCGTAGCGGTGAAGTAAGTAAAGTTAGTACCAAACTTACCTTTCAGATTTTTTTAGCGAATTCCTCTCGATCATCATGGGGTACTAGAATATGTGATGCAGGAGCGGAAAAATACTCTCCAACTAAATTATCTGCATCACAACCATAGTATAGCATGATTTCTCGAACTTTCCCACAACTGGGCCATTGATCCAGATTTTTGTGATGCGATCATACTTGCCAATTTTAAGATCATGCGGTATATATCGTTACAAATCGTATAAAAAGGAGGTAAGTTTTTAGAAAAGATCAAACGAAGCTAATCAAACTTATCTTTACATCCATCATATCCATCATCAATCCTATCAACCAAATGATCGAGCATTTCCTACAAAAATAAAAACAAAGTATGTCCTACTATTGCTCGATTTAATTTTGAAAAATGGCATTGATGCTTCACACATGATACTTACCATTTTTTCCGGTATTTTATATGTACTAATCTTGATCCTTGATATTCACTGAGAAATATGGTTCTGAATCTGATTCGACTAGGAGCATTCCACTCCCGGATTCAAGTTGCGAGAAAGGCTTGAATAATCTTCATTTTGATAGTATGATTCGAATCGTGATTCAAAAATTTGCGGAGAGAAAAAAAGTCCAAGGGATTTAAAATCCCTCAAATGAAGTTCCATATATGCAATATCGTGATCTTCTGTTCCGAGAAATGCAGAACCTAGGTGTAGTGGTGGGGTTAATAAAGGACAAGAGGTATTATTCAAGCGAAGTAAAAATAAGCATGGATACCTGTCTGCATAGAAATACCATGTATCACAGGATAGTCCCGTATAATTTTTTCTGAAAAACGGGAATAATCAAAATACTTAGCATTTTTTAAGACATGAGTGGGCGAAGTAAAATTATTTCTGAATAACAGCCCCTGCATCGTTTTCCATCCTTAAGATATAGCCATGTCATACGAAAATAAAATGTATTTAGTTTCTAGCCACTAGCATAGAAATTTCATCATAAACCTGGGTTTTCCTCCTGAAATTATTTATTTTAATGTTTTGCAAATAAAACAATTTTAACACTGCATTTGATCTCTTAACCAGTAATGACTCATCCTTATATGCTACATTCAGTTGATTGCTCGAGAGCAATGAACTAATGCAGATTATTTTTTGAAAATTAGGATTGGATATTTAAGACTTTCATGTTTTGTAACGATCGTAGCTCTTAACTACAGAAGAATATTAATTATAAAAAGGATGGATGAATAGGAAGCACCTGGTAAGAAAAAAAAATAAGTAGTGCACATTCTAATACTACGATCAAACCAAAAAATTTTTCGCACATAAAACTAATAATCGAAATTAGCAATAAAATGCTCTCGAATTCTAATATTTTATCACTTGCACTTTTTTCCATCTCAATGCTAATTTATAAGATGATTCTCTGGGGCGTCTTAACAATGGAGATACTCTGTGGCATTTTTTCAGGAAATGTAATAATATATATATTTCTTGTAAGAGTGTTCTTATTCCTACACAAATATTTATCATTGACCCCAGAAAAATCATAAGTTGCCAAACTTGAAAAATCAATATTGACATTAAATAACGAAATACAAAAAATAAAAGGAGAGGCGGAATGGGACCATATATCACAAGGTAAGAAATATTCTGCTCTCCCTGGTTGTCTTTGCATATATCCTCAAGAGTAAAGGTACTAACTTTTTATTATTTATCATTAGGTTCGTCTTAATTCTCTTCTAGCCATGTATTTATCAGCTAATATTCGGAATATCCCGATAAAGTCCAAACTTTATGGGTAGAATTCACAGCTTTATTTAATCAAAGAAGAAGAAGGGAGAGGCGCTCTCATACATAGTTATACAATATTTTGGCAGGGCCCAGCTGAAATTCTAGTCATATGATTTTCTTTTATAATCAGAATCATGTCCAAAATGAGTTTTATTTTCAAGTTCTACAATAAATATTTGCTTTGCAATCTCTAACATATGCATGAAAAAAAAAATACAAAAATTGCTAAACTGTTAAAAACACTATTTTATACTAATGAAAAAAATCTTATTCCTGCTGTTCGTTAGACTTTTTACCATAATTAATGGTAACATTGATTACATTCGCATTTTGTGAAAAAAGAAGGGATAATTAGAATCACAGGTCTGGAGATGAGATGTTTCAATAGTTGATGGTGTTAGCAGTATTAATGATATAAGAGAATTTTTGACGGTTTTAGATGATGATATTTGTGGTCTTGATGATACAGGAGATAATAATGAGATCACTTCATTTAACCTTCTAACGTTCTCATTATGTGCTCGTTCAAATGGAAGATCTAGCAAAATTAATAAAGTTCACTAACGACTGAAAAGCATCAAATTCTCAAAAGTATAGTTATCAGGCTTCAACTAAAATTCGCTAAAGAACTCCTTATAGATTTCCTCTTCTATTAAACTTCTTTTTTTTCACCCTTTCTATATTTTATAGCTGTCTTATAAAATAATGATAATAAGAATATTATCAGTCAGATTTTTCATAGAGCTAAAAAAGAGTTACTTACTTTATAAGCCTTCTTGAGATTTTTAAATTTCTTGCGACAGTCTACGCTAATAAAAAAATTGGTATTTTCATGTTTGTTAATTTTTTTAGCAATATCATCCCAAATCAAAAGTTTCTTTTTATTCAGAGTAAGGTGAAATTTAGCATTTCTCTATTTTCGTTATCAATGAAAAAGCAGGTCTGTACATCACTCCACTCAATAGAAGATATAATTTCACATAATGAGAAGAATCCTAGAGAATAGATGTTTGTTTATAAAAAAATATTTAATAATGTGAAAAATAAGTATGATAAATATAATGATTAGTTCAAATGATAATAAAGGCTTAGTTACTTTTTATCTGATTAGCTGATCATCTTATGATTTTAGTGACTAGCTGGCATCAAAGAAGTGTTTGAGAACTGTTGTAGAACTGGCAGGAAGCTAGGATGATTCCTATGATATAATATACATTATACACTTCTGATTAATACCCTATAAATAATATGTATAAGAAAAGTATACAGAAATTATACGTTTAAAAAACGTATCCCTTAGATTGTAGGTTTCACAGGCAAATTTGCCTGCTTATTTACTATAAATTCTCTTCTGATTTACTTTTATGAATAATTAATATTTTTAAAAAA